GACCCCTTTATCCATGTGAGAGACCTGGAAGAGCTCCTGGCTTTGGATTGCAAATTCTGGTCATTGTGGCCATTTCTGGAGTGACCAGTGGATGGAAGATTCTCATTCTCTCTCTCTCATCTCTCTCTTGTCTCTCTCTGTCTCTCTCTCTCTCTTTCTTTCTCTGGCTCTCTAACTCTACCTTTCAAATAAAAATAATCTCTTAAAAAAAAATTCTTTCAGAGTGATAGGGTGGTGTCTGAAGATGCAGAAGTTAGCTTGAAGGAAGAGCGCACACTGGCCAGATACTGGATAATTTCAGCACTAAGTAAAGTTGATGTTGTATACGATAAGTGAGAGATAGAAAAATTTCTTCTTCTTACAGCGGCGTTTTGTTTATGATCGAAGTGGTGTAACAAAAAAGTCATTATTTGGCATCTACCATAATGATACTTGATTCAGATGGAAGTTACAAATGGATCCTGATGTTGGGAAGAAGTTAGATGAGACATTGAATGCTGTGTAGTATTGGGTTATCTCCCCGTAAATGGGTAGTTAAAAAAACAGCCATTATTTGGCGTCTACCATATGATAGTTGATTCATATGAAGTTACAAATGGATCTTGATGTTGGTGAAGAAGTTTGATGAGACATTGATGCTGTGTAGTATTGGTTCTCTCCCACAAAATGCTTATGATTTACAGAGGAAATCTGGTGACCAGATGATCTAGGTTAACCTCACCATCGTGACATACGTTGACTCATGTGATTCTTGATGAAAAAGCTGAGAAAAGTTAGTGTGATTCTGAGGTTTTTCTGATAAATGCCAACATGAGTTTTGACTTTGAGGACCCTTTACATTTTTTGCTTGAGGGACATCCTAAAGAGTGAAAGATTGGAACTCTTGAGAATTGTCAATATCACAAAGGTGGGGACACTGAGCACTATTTGAGAATAAAAGAGTACAGCAAGGAATGCCATTTGATGCTGGGCAGCAAGTGCAAGGGCTGCTTTGACAGCACAGCGTGTGCAAGGACCTCTAGATTGGACTGACAGTGTGGTATCAGTTTCCTTATTCAGCTACTGATCTGAGGTTCCAGAGGTGAATTCTCTTGTGGACGTTTACTCTGGTGAACATAGGGCAATCACCCTTATGTCAGAAACTTGCTCTCTAAGAGTAATGCGAATGGGTGCAGTTAGATAAAGAGGTGATTGGAACAGATGTGGTAAACGTTAATGATGGAGACATTGCAGTTCAGGTGCAGTTCCTTGTAGCATCCTTGAACCATGGCCAGCTATTTGTGTGGAGGTGAGGTGATGGCGGGAGAGTTGGGTTTAGTACATATCAAGGTCTTTAAGGTTCCTGTGATAGAGAAACAGAGGAGGAGAGGATGAGTACTGGGCACCTGGTGGGGGGCCTGATAGTGCCAGACAGTAGAATCTATACTGAGTAGGGATTGAGAGAGGACACGCATGAGGAGGGAACTGTGGAGATGTTACGAGAGTGATTGGAGGGGCCAGTACCGTGGCTCACTTGGTTAACCCTCTGCCTGCATTACCAGCATCCTGTATGGACGCCGGGTTATAGTCCTGGTTGCTCCTGGATCATGTAAGAACCCTTGGTTTAAGACTCAAGTATGGCCGGCGCCGTGGCTCAATAGGCTAATCCTCCGCCTTGCAGCGCCGGCACATCGGGTTCTAGTCCCGGTCGGGGCGCCAGATTCTGTCCCGGTTGCTCCTCTTCAAGGCCAGCTCTCTGCTGTGGCCCGGGAGTGCAGTGGAGGATGGCCCAAGTGCTTGGGCCCTGCACCCCATGGGAGACCAGGAGAAGCACCTGGCTCCTGCCAGCGGATCAGCGCAATGCGCCGGCCGTGGCAGCCATTGGAGGGTGAACCAACGGCAAAAGGAAGAGCTTTCTCTCTCTCTCTCTCTCTCTCTCTCACTGTCCACTCTGCCTGTAAAAAATTTAAAAAAAAAAAAGACTCAAGTGTGCTGTCTTGAAGCACACTGCTTCTCTATTCTGTAGTGTGAACTCCAGGTCATTATTATGTAATTGTTAGCAGTCTTAATAGGTAAAAAAAGGCTGTGTTCTCTTTGATGGGTGCTCTTGTTACTCACGCCTCCTACCTAGGCTAGAAAGCAGAGTACCTTTAGATGTTTCTACATGCATGTGGAGCGACTCAGCTTTTTCTCTTTATAGCTTTGGTATAACTAGAATCTTCCCTCTCTGCCACCTTTGTTCCATGGCCCTGCTGCAGATTATTGTCATCCTTTGCCTCTTATTCTTGTTCTGCTCATCCTCCTCAAAAGCACCAGTCGTTTGACCAATACATGCACTCAGTAAATGGAGAGAATACAGGGAGGCACTTTGAACACGTAGGGGCATTTCTCTTATCAAATGCCTGACACGGGAATGTTACTGCTGATCTTGCTCTGATTAGATTTCTTTCTTCTTTCTTTCTTTTTTAATGATTTATTTTCTTAAAAGTCAGAGTTACACAGAGAGAGAAGGAGAGGACGAGAGAGAGGCAGAGGGAGAGGTCTTCCGTCTGCTGGTTCATTCCCCAGATGGCTGCAATGGCTGGAGCTGCTGCAATCTGAAGCCAGGAGCCAGGAGTTTCTTCCAGGTCTCTCACATGGGTGCAGGGGCCCAAGGACTTGAGCCATCTTCTACTGCTTTCCCAGGCCACAGCAGAGAGCTGGATTGGAAGTGGAGCAGCTGAGGCTCATGCCTGCACTGCAGGCAGTGGCTTTACCTGCTACACCACAGCGCTTACCTGCTAGATTTCCTCTTTCTAACATAGGCAGTACAGTACTGTCCTTTTGAGAGGAACAAAGGTTGTAAACCTCACATGTGAAATGAGAAGTTGAGTAAGAAGACCTTCAGGGGCAGGTATTTGATGTTGGATGGCATTAAGAAGCTGCTTGGAACACCTGCATCCCATATGGTATTCCCTGTTTCAAGTCCTGGTGTTGCTACTTTACTCAAAAAAAAAAAAAAAGAGATAAGGTTTTTCATTTGAAAGGCAGAGAGACAGAGAGGGAGAGAGATAGATCGATCTTCCATCCACTGGTTCACTCCCCAAATGGCCTCAGTGGTGGCTGGGACCGGGCCAGGCCAAAGTCAAGAGCCAGGAGCTTCATCTGGGTATCCCACAAGAGTGGTAGGGCCCAAGCACTTGGGCCATCTGTATTGCCTTCGCAGGCAATTAGGGAGCTGGTCCAGAAATGGAGCATCTGGGACTGGAAGTGGTACCCATATGGGATGCTGGCGTTGCAGGGGGCAGCTTTACCCACAACACCACAGTGCCAACACCTAGTGCTGCTTATGATGCAGCTCCTAGCTGATGTATCTAACATTGAGAAATGAGAGAAAAAGTACCAACATGATAACGTGCACGTAGAAAATGTCAACAGTGACCTCAGATGCTGCCTTTCTGTATTCTGTCTTGCTTTGTGGAAGATAGGATTTGTCACATTTCAAACACATTCCATAGGTTAAATGCAGGGCTAGACTGTGAAGGGTGGTGACTGGCAAGCAGACCTGTGTTCTGTGGAGAACTGTGTAGATCACAGGTGTTCCGTGTCCTTGTGCAAGTGGATACGTAAGAGTCTGAATAAATAAATTGCAAAGATTTCCTGATGCGTGAGTCAGAGAATACGCCAGACAGAATGTTTGTAAGGAAGAAGAGAAGGAATGTGTACCAGAATCTTTTCTAAGTTAAACTCTTTTTCAAATTCTGTGTTAATAGGGTATGTAGTGCATATAATATCAAATTCTACACAAACTCTAGTAGTTGGTCTTGATGCAGTATTTTATTTACAGCTATGTCTTCCTTTTTTAAATTTTTTACTTTTTTCGATCTTTCTTATTTTTCATTGAGAGTTACACATGGAGAGGATGAGAGGCAGAGTGAGAGGAGAGAGAGGGAGGTCTCCCATCTGCTGGTCCACTACCCTGTTGGCTGCAAAGGGCAGGAGCTGAGCGGATCTGAAGCCAGGAACCAGGAGCCAGGAGCCTCCCCGGGGTCTCCTGCATGGGTGCAGGGGCCCAAGGAGTTGGGCCATCTTCTGCTGCATTCCCAGACCGCAGCAGAGAGCTGCTTCGGAAGTACAGCAGCCGGGACTCGAACCGGAGCCCATATGGGATGCCGGCACTGTGGGCGGTGGCTTTACCCGCTACCGCACAGCGCTGGTCCCTCCCGGAAGCTGTTCCCCGTGGGATCCAGCTGTCTGCTAACGTACCTGGGAAAGCAGAGGGAGATGGCCCAAGGACGTAGGCCCCTGAACCCAGAAGGGAGCACCGGATAAAGTCCCTGGCATCTGCTTTGGCCTGGCCCAGCCCCGGCCTTTGTAGTCACCTGGGGGGTTGATCCCCCAGAAGGACGCTCTGGCGAGAAAGAGCGCTCGTGATGCCGCTTGCATTGCTTCTCTCCCCATGCGGCTTCAACAGCATGCGCTGTGCCAAACAGAAGCCAGGGGGCAGGAGCTCCATTGAGGACTCCCAGGAGGCAGGGAAGTGGGGTGCAGAGTACCTGGGCCACCAGCGGCTGCCCCGCCTGGGTAAAGCCTGGAGGGGCGGGACTGGAAGTGACCCTGGGGGCGCTGGACGCGGGATGTCGCAGTGCGCAGATGCGTCCCGTTGCGCCATGGCGACGGCCAGTGAGGAGTGCGCCTGCGCCTGGCGCTGTGACCTGGAAGTGCACCCGCAGGCGCATCTGCAGCTGTGCTGGTGCTCAGGTAGGAGTCAGCGTCGTGTCCGCTCCTGCCCAGCGCTGGCACAAGCCTTGAGGAGCCATCCTCGACGCTGGTGGCCCACCCTGAGAAGACACAGTGAGTGCCCCCCCAGGTTCAGGCCGGGTTCAGATGAGGCTGCAGTCTGAGGCGGCCGCATCAGTTATCTTGGGCTTCTGGAAATTTCTAGGTGCAGTCTTTTGCTTCGGCCCCTTCTGGAAGACTACACCTCAAGACTGCGTTCATGTTCCAGAGACACAGAAACGGCCTTCCTGCGGAGAGTTTGGTGTGGTGGCCTTCCTGTCACTGGGTAGGCGGGGCCCAGGGTGCAGAGCGGGGGTGGGGTGTGTGTGTGAAGGGTAGCTGGGATAGAAGGTGGAGGAGAGGGTGTAAGGGGGGAGGTGGGAGGAGGGAGCGAGGGGGAAGGATGAAAAAGTGGCGTGCAGGTGTGGAGGCGAGGAAGGTAGGGGCAGAAACCCTCGTGGGGCAGAGGCAAGGGAGGGGGAGAGTGACAGGCATCCCGGTGAGTGTGTGGTTGAGCGTGGGGTGGGGAGAGGAAGAACTTTTCCCACGGCCCCGGTTTTCTGCCCCTGGTGGGAAGTAGCCTTGGCCGCATCCGTGAGAAGAGGCCTTGATCACGGCCTTTCTTCTCCGGGTTGTTCGGCAGTGTAAGGTGTGTGTGCGCAGGAAAACGGGCATGGGGCGCTCGAATTAATTTGCACCTAATCCGGTGACTTTCCACAGACTGCACACAGGGAGGAGAAAGCAGAAGCTTAGAGAAACCCCAAGAATCCCTCTTTGCTCTGTTCCAGCCTGCCCCAAGATTCTGACACCTCATAGTAAGTACGCGACTTTTTTCTATTTAAAGACTGGTTTGAAGGGCAGAGTTATAGATGAGGCGGTGAGGGAGAGATCTTCAGTGTGTGGGCTCACCCCGCCCAGGTGCCAGGTGGCTACAATGGCCGGTGCTTGACCAGGCCGGAGCCCAAGCCAGGTACTGTATCCAGTACTCCGGTGTGGGTTCGGGGGCCCAAGTCCTTGGGCCACTTCCTCTGCTTTCCTAGGCGTTTGAGGAGACAGCGGGATCACAAGTGGGAAAAGCCTGGGTGGGGCGGCGGTCGGAGCCATGGCATAGCGGGTGAAGCCGCCGCCTGCAGTACCAGCATTCCATATGTGTGTTGGTTCGAGTCCCAGCAGCTCCACTTCCGTTCCAGCTCTCTACTGTGGCCAGGCAAAGCAGTTGAAGAGGGCCCAAGTCCTTGGGCCCCTGGACCTGTGTGGGAGTCCTGGAGGAAGCTCCTGGCTCCTGGTTTCATATCCACTCAGCTCTTTCTGTGGATGGTTGGCCGTGGTGGCCTTCCTGTCACTGGGTGGGTGGGGCCCGAGGTGCAGAGAGCGGGGAGGGTGTGTGTGTTTGAGGGGTAGTTGGGATAGAAAGTGGAGGAGGGAGGGGCTCAAGGGGGACGCGGGAGGAGAGAGGAAGGGAGGAGAATGAAAAGGTGATGTGTAGGTGTGGAGGTGAGGAAGGGAGGGGCAGAAACCCGCGTGGAGGAGAGGAAAGGGAGGTGGAGAGTGACAGGAGTCCTGGTGGGTGTGGGTGGTGGCAGGGTTTGGGAGAGGAAGAACTTTTCCCATGGCCTCGGTTGCGTCTTGGGTGTTTTCTGTCCCTGGCCAGCAGTAGCCTTGGTCGCGTCCTTGAGAAGAGGACCTTGACTCACGGCCTCTCTTCTCCAGGTTGTTCGGAAGTGTAAGGTGTGTGTGCAGGAAAACGGGCATGGGGCGCTCGAATTAATTTGCACAGAATCTGGTGAATTTTCACAGACTGCACACAGACAGCTTGATCACAAGTGGGAACAGCCTGGGTTGTTGGGGGTTTGGGGGTGTGGGGCGGGCAGAGCCATGGCATAGTCAGTGAAGCCACTGCCAGCTGTACCAGCATCCCGTATGGGTGTCTTCCTTTTCTGTGATACTTTTCTCTCCTTCCCCTGACAGAGGTAAGTATCCAGAGCTTTTGGATGTATTTCATTACAGAAATATTTCTGTTACACACTCTTTATATATGTAAAGTACTTACCCATTTAATCACCATTTATTTGCTGTGTACCTATTTCATGCAAGACTGTGAGCTTGTCCAGGGCAGGACTTTATCTCTCTGCTTTCATTCCTGTAGTCCCTGGTCACAGTTGGTATTTGATATATGCAGAACTAACAGTGCCCTCACTGCTGCGTCTTGGGACAGGAAGTGATGGTTAATGAAGGCTCTGGTCACAAGAATAAAGGTCGGAGGGACAAGAAAGGATGTTTAACAGAATCAGCATTAATGAAGCACTTTCAGTTGTCAGGCTTCTTAAGGTACCGTTGTCTCATTTCTAAATAACAACACAAGGAGGGGAAGCAAGAGGTTTTTTTGTTTGTTTGTTTTTGTTTTTTTGAATTATACCACATTGTCCTGTCTAATTCTCTTCAAAGGTCTGTGAGGGAGGCACTTCTGATAGCCTTTTAAATATTAGTTAAAGGAAGTGGGAACCTGCCCTAGGCCATATATCAAGATCAGTGAAGTTCCAGTTTAAATCCTGCTTTGCTTGCCCCAGAGCTGTGTCCCTCCTGGGGTTGGAACCTCAGCTTCCATCGGTTCCAGAGTTGGGGTATCAGAGAGGTGGTAGCCAGAGAAAACCAGTGGTCCTAGTCTTTGGGCTTGTCTGTGTGTGGAGCATAAATAACTACAGGGACTTGAGCTGTGTCACTAAGGACCCTTCTTGCTAATGCTGTGGCCTCATGCTGTGATTTGTTAACATAGGTCTTGTGTCCTGGTTCACACCAGTGGGGAGTCTTGAGCTGTTGGCGGGGGGCGGGGGGGTCTGAGGAGGGTACCTTGCCACCCTGGGACTGGAACTGACTTTTAAGAGGGACCTTGAGGTATGAAAGGAGATTTGCTGGTAGGGTTAGGACCAGAGGGTTTGAGGAGTCCTCAAGGTCCCTGGTGATTAGTCTTTTTAAAATTTATTTATTATTTATTTCAAAGGAAGAAAGAAATATTTCATGCGTTAGTTTACTTCCCTAATGCCCTCAACAGCTGGAAAGGTATGTGAAGCCAGGGTCTGGGAACTCAATCCAAGTCTCCCATGTGAGTGGCAGGGATGTAAGTACTTGAGCCATCACCTGCTGCCTCCCAGGTTGGAATAGTAGGAAGCTGGATTCAGGACTTCAGCCAGGACTTGATCCTGGGCACTCTAACATGAGCTGTGGGGATTACAGTAGAGGCTTAGTCGCTATACCAAAAGCCCATCCCTGATTAGTCTTCAGTTCCCTCCTTCAAAGTGTGGCTGGCTACTTGGGAGGGGTTTACCTCACCACTGCTAACTGGGCCTGCTGCACAATTTTGTGAGGACCTTGTTCCAAAGGCAGGGGTAAAGGGCCACTAAAGATACTAAAACATAAAGCTCTTTCCTTTCTTCCACCTACCTCCTTGGCTCAGACTCATGCTCTTTTGACTGGCTTACAAAACACAAGTTCAAAGACAGAGTTTTGAGGATTTTTAAGACACCACCAGCAGAGGTTTAAACCCAGTGCAGGCCCTTCAGAGAGCGAGCCGTGTGACTGTTTCTGTGTGACCATGTAGGCTGCACGCCCATGAGGTTGGCCCTGGCTGCTGAATATAACCCATTGGCTTTAACCAGTCCAGGTCTAATCCTGTGACACTCCAGGGCACCTGGGCAGACTTATGTCTTATTAAATCAGCTCCCTGAGGATTGTGTGGACTAGTTAGTCATACTGTCTCGTGATCACGCTCCTCGATTTTCTTAGAGACCTCTTGTCTTGTCTAGCTAGGACTGGTATCTTTTTCTAGAGTAAGGCTCCTCACCCCTGACCTAGAGCACTGAGAGGAACTGGAATGCTGCTGTGTGGCAGAGACCTCCTGCAAGTTCTCTGAGCAGTACTGGGTCCCCACAGCTCCGCTTAGTGTTTCTATGGTACCACACTTTGAGAACTGTGCTCGCAAATGACTCATGGGACAGTCTGTCCCTGCTCTATTCCTGCTCTGAGCCTGGCAATCAAGGTCCAGACAAGGCCCCTGATAGAAATGTTGCATCCAAGCAGCCCCCTTATAACTAAGGTCACCTCAAGATCCCCACAAATGGATCTTGGACCAGAGGTCAGGACTTTATGTGCAACTTGAACACTTCCTGCCTTGGGAAGTTCACTGCCCCCACCCCAGGACATGTTCTGAGCTGCTTGGTCCTAGGTGTAGAGGCTCTGGCCTCTGGAAATGTACTGAGTTGACTTCTGAGTTTCCAGATGCCAGAAAACATGTAACGGAGTTCCTCGGATCTGTGTGACCACTTGGATATCCAACTGTGATTGCAGACACCCATGGTGAAGACTTTTGAGTGCCGCCTCATGGTGGAGCTGAGTGCTTCCTGCTGGGACTGTGGGATCTTCCTGGGATGCCAGGGTGGCACAGCAAGCCATGGTGCTCTGGAGGCTGTCACTGAATCTGTGTGTAGCTTAGAAGGTAAAACTGTGTCTTTCCAGTAGTATGGAGCAGAGCCTCAGGACGAGGAGATGGTCCTATCAGAACTTGATGCTGGGGCTGGCGCTGTGGCACAGCAGGATAAAGTGTTGGCCTGCAGTACTGGCATCCCATATGGGTGCTGGTTCATGTCCCGGCTGCTCCACTTCTGAGCCAGCTCTCTGCTAAGCCCTGGGAAAGCAGTAGAAGATGACCTGAGTCTTTGGGGTCCTGCACCCGTGTGGGAGACCTAGAAGAAAATTCTGGCTCCTGGCTTTGGATCAGCTCAACACTGGCCATTGGCAGTCATTTGGGGAGTGAACAAGCTGTTGGAAGACCTCTCTGTCTCTGTCTGTCTCTGTCTCTCTAACTCTTTCAAATAAGTAAAATAAATCTTTTTTAAAAAAGAACTTAATGCTAATGTGTGCATTTGTTCTAACTTGGAAAGGAAATCTCATTCCTCTGCTTCAAGTCACCTTGCAATTCAGGAAGGGCAGCATTTTTTTTGCGTTAGGCTTCTTGCTTCTTCTCTGCTGGCTTCTCCCTTGTAAATTATCATGTAGCATCATCCTTTGCTCTGGTAGGATTCATTTTTAAAACTGTGCTTTTTCTCTTCTTCATCAGAATAGTTCAGAAAGTTAATGGGAAATGGAATCAAAAGATACCTTTATTTTAGTGTAAAATTTTTTAAGCCCATGCATATTTTTTGTAATACGTATTTTTATATAATGTTTGAAGATCCCTCATGTATCATAACAAGTCTTTACAAATTTTGGTCATTGTCTTGGTCCTTTAGTTATTAGGAATAAATTATTTTGTTAGGTTGAAATTAGCCTATTTGAATTAGTGCCGGATCTCATTTGCTGTGACATAAAGAATTGCTTTATGGATAATGAAAGCACCTTAATGATGTGGTCTAAAGGAGAAAACAATATTACTGAAGCTATTAACACCAGGGGACTTCTCCCTGACCTCTTAACAGTGCCCTGCAAACTGTACATTATTGCACTTTTGAGGATCCAGGGGCTGAAGTCTGGCCTGAAGGTATTTTAGAGAATGCTCCACGTGGGAAAGTCATAAGAAAAACAGAGGAATATAAGTAGCAGTTAATGAGAAGGCAGAAGAGACTTCTAGAATTGAAGTGACCACAAGGTTTGCTGGGATTTTTTGAGCAGCACAGCACTAGGTTGTCTGTGTTGGGCACCAGATACAATCACTACAGCCTTGTGAAGTTAGAAACTATGCCGTTCTGCAGAATTCAGTTTGAGACTCACTAATAGGACTCAGCCTACAAGGAATGCAGATGAGACAGAGCATCTCTGACCTTAACAGAGGCAGTGTGATTGGTCATTCTTTACTTTCCCTTTATATTGCTATAGCAACTTTAAAATGCCTTTTGTTTAAAAACCTGAGGAAATGTATGTGAAAAGTCATTTTGGCAATCTTTGGTCATCAGTAAATTCACCATCTTACGTGTGTTATAACTTACTGAACCCGTGGTACTAGGAACTTGATAGAAGTTTGCAGCATTAGACTACAATTTTCTGCTTGCTCAAAACTGAGGGAGTTGGAGCTTACCCAGCATAATTAGAAATGTACCCTCTATTTGAAGCCTTGGCAAGAACAATAATTTAGTATCGTGGCTGTGTGGCACTGGTAGAATGTGTTGTTCAGTCCTGAGTTTGGGCACCTTGTTTGTTTATGACAGAAAACAGCTTTCAGAAACTTCCTGGTGGATAAAATACCCTTTTCACAATCTGGTGGTTTCATTGCTTTTTTCCTAAAGGTTTAATTTTCCCTTCGAGTGCAGGCATGTTCATTTTATCAAAGCTGGCATTTTCTCTTCTTTAAAAATTAAAGTCTTGAGTATTCTGAAGAAAATTTCGCAACCATTAGGGTATATAAGTGCGTGTCGTGTGAGCATAATTACAAGGATGAAATGCTTTGCTTTTGAGTAGTAGTGGACCAACACTTGGTGTGCTAAGCAACATAGTTTTTATTCTATTTTGTGGTTCAAAGGCTGCTTACTACTGCTCCTGATCTTAGATTATCTTAGTCCTTTTGTCAAATGGATTTAGAGCGCACAGCACCTTTTTATCCACCTTCTCTCTGAAAAGCAGTGGGAGATAGAGCAACTTTTTTAAAGATTTATTTATTTATTTGCGAGGTAGAGTTACAGAGAGAGAGGTTTTCCGTCCAATGGTTCACTCCCCAAATGGTTGCAATGGCCAGAGGCGAACCGATTCAAAAGCTGGAGCCAGGAGCTTCTTTGAGGTCCCCTACATGGTTTCAGGGGCCCAAGAAGTGAGGCTATCTTCTGCTGCTTTTCCAGGCTATAAGCAGAAAGCTAGATTGGAAGAGTAGCATCGGGGGCACGAACCGCACCCATGAGGGATGCTGGCGCTGCCGGAGGGATGCTTTACCTACTTTACCACGGCGTTGGCCCACAGAGCAAATTTTTAAGCCAAGAGCCAGGAGCCCAAGAGCTGGGCCATCCTCCGCTGCTTTCCCAGGCACATTAGCAGGGAGCTGGATTGGAATCCGAGTACCAGAACTCGAACTGCTGCCTATATGGGATGCTGGCACCGCAGGAGTGGCTTTTAATTCTTCCTATGACTTTAATTTAGCTACCCGGGAACTTTAATTTAGCTACCTGAGCTACCAGAGCAGAGGCTAGGACAGGTGTTCCCAGCCTCATTTTATGGGTCAGGAATAAATAAAGCCTGGAGTATTGGCTGCATTTGTTCATCTGGAACTTGATACCAGAGCCCAGAATTTTAGTTTTATAAATGTTGAAGATTTTTGGCTCCAGAATTTAAATGAAGTTCAGCATCTTTACTTTTTGTTATTCTGAATGTGATTTACTTGTCCCTGAAGTGTGCACATCACAAAATTTATTATTTAGAAAGTGGAAGTTGAAAAAGAAAATGGAAGATACTCCTCAGTTCTGTTTGGAGATGTCCGAAGCACTGTTGACAGTTTGGTGTGCTCTCTTACAGATGCTTTTCCTCCCTTAAATTGTGTGTGTGTGTGTGGGTGTGGGTGTGGGTGTATTGTGTGTGTACAGTGCTCACATGCACATAGAAATGACTTTGTGCAGAACTGTGCTCTTAATAGGATAGTTTCCATCTTTCTTTTTATACTTGACAGTATAGTAAACTATAAACCTTATAAACACAATAAACATAGATCATTTTATACATATAGACATTATAAACACATAGATCTAATTCTCTTCAATGACTGTATAAGATTACATTGTATTCCAACATAAGGGGTTGCTATTTTGTGTGATAATTCTGATTTTTTTTGAGAGGCAGAGTGGACAGTGAGAGAGAGAGACAGAAAGGTTTTCCCTTTGCCGTTGGTTCACCCTCCAATGGCCGCCGCGGCCGGTGCACCACGCTGATCCGATGGCAGGAGCCGGGTACTTATCCTGGTCTCCTATGGGGTGCAGGGCCCAAGTACTTGGGCCATCCTCCACTGCACTCCCTGGCCACAGCAGAGAGCTGGCCTGGAAGAGGGGCAACCGGGACAGAATCCGGCACCCCGACCGGGACTAGAACCCGGTGTGCCGGCGCCGCAATGCGGAGGATTAGCTTACTGAGCCGCGGCACCGGCCGATAATTCTGATTTTTCACCATTAAAATAATGCGGCAGTGATCAACCTGGAATGTGCATACTTGAGCATCCCTGGAACTGTTTTGATGACCTGTGTTATTGGAGAATTGCTAAGACAAGAACAGTCCTGTTTAAAATTTTCCTAGGTCCTTCAACATTATTCCGCAGGGTTGCATCCATCTAGACTTCCACAAACAGTGAGGTAAATTTCCTGTGCTTTCCATCAACACCGGGAGTAAAGCATTGTTGGTCAGTGTACATGGTGCTTAACGTGGAATCTGGTGTTTTCTTACTTACATAGGTTATGATTTCCAACTATCGCCAAGAGGTAAACACTAGAGTTAGGTTTAGGCTGTGGTTCTTGCTGGTATGCCTCTGTTTTAAATTTCATCTCACATCAGCTTGGCATCAAGATTTCCAGCTTTCCAAAGCTGGCCACACATTTAAAGCAAGTGTCTCAACCAGTTGTTAGAGGAAAAGATACAGCAGTGGTAACGATGATGCTAAATGAATATGATATCTGACACCTCATCACCTAGTTGAAATATCTTTGTGTTTACTTGTTTTCTGGAATAAAAATAATTCAGGCTTATCGAAACTATACATTTTCATTCCTTCCACAAATGAGACAATCTAGTTTCTGACTCACTGGGCTTCTAAAATTCTGTGGGTAGGGGCTAGTGTTGTGGTGCAGTGGGTTAAGCCATCACCTGTAATGCCAGCATCCCACCCTTGTTTTCTTTCTGTAATCCAGTAGTTGAAAAACAGCCACCACTCCCAATGCATGAGTCCTATAAAAGCAATTTCACTTTATTTGAACACTCTAAGGAGAAAAAGCAGATGAGTATGTATTGTACCTAAAGAGAAAAACTCTGTCAAATTTTAAATCGAATGGTGGAATAAATTCCATGACAAAAGTGAAGCAAACAATTGACCTGTGGCCCCACTGCGCTGGTGCCTGGCTTCACTGCCTACTGGGGACAGACAGCAGGAGCCCAGGAGAAGCCTGGAGCCACACCCCTGCGCGGGCTTGGTCTTTGTTTTTTGATTGGTTGGAGCCTGCAGGTAATCCAACCAGAATTGATGTATGCTGTTGAATACCGAGTTTATAAAAGGGGTGCTCAGTGCTGCTGTTTCCCTTTTCTCTTCTTGGTGTCCAGCGCCGTGGAGCTCTTCATTGGAGCATGTGCTAAGCCCTGGCCCTAAGAACAAGGAGGTGAGCAGCCGAGAGCAACACCTGCAGGAAGGGCCGGGCTGCCGGTAGTAGATTCAACAGGACCCTCAGGTTTGTCCATCCTCGCCTGGTGAGTCTTCTTGAAATGTTTGTGCATATCATACGCCGGTCCTGGACACAGGCAGGGGACACTTGGGCCTTTAGGAGCCATTGGGAAGGAAGAATAAATTGTATGTTATAAATTGAATACTGTATTTTATATGATAACCTTTTATTATATATTATAAATTTCATATCATATGTTCTAAATAGATTTTAAATTGTATATTGTAAACCATATATGTGCTCGGAGGTATCACAGACAGTTCCAGGAGGTGTGAGCCTACCTGGCTGAATTCTGATGCCAGGATGGGTGAACCAGCAGGTGCCCGCAGGTGAGTCATCTTCTTATAGGTGGGCAATTAAGATGCCCAGCAACTGTGTTGATTTCCAGGTCTCTTGTTTTATTTTCTGGATTTATAGTTCTACTTAGTGGATAGGAGCTGAGAAAGTGGATCTGGTCATCCAGGAAGGAAGTTCCTGCTCACAGGCTTTGCTTCCTGTTTTTCCTAATTTGCTAAGATAGTTTCTCTCAGTTTGCATTGAAGGTTCTCCAACACAGCAGTAATAACTTTGACTGCTAAACCCAAAAAGATGGTTGTACATTGTTGTCATTGCCCCACTGAATTCTAATTCTGCCTCTGTGATATCCAGTGTTTCCCTAATTTTATGAAAAAGTTCCTGAGGAATACATTGTTGTATTGTGTTAATGAGTGTGGTTATCTGGGAAGACATATCATGTAAAATTTACATATCCCAGTCATACTATTGCATTAACTAGGAATATGGGGACTCCGTTTATCATCAGAGGATGGCACCGAAATTTTGAGTGGGTAGCATTACTTCCTAAGTATATTTGTTTCAGGTATAAAACTATAAGGTTCTGAATAACTCAATACAGGTTCTTTTTACTTCTAAATTCGATTTTGAAATACTGAAATCATTCGGATTATGATATTTGTAGACCATTTTTAGGTCTGAGAAGGCAGGGGCATTGTTTCTGGGCAGTATCCACTCTGGTTGCCGTGTAATTGGTTCTAAACCATCGGTTGGTGAATTGAAATCCCTGTTTGTCCTGTGTTTTAAACAACACAAAATTTCAAAATCCTTAGGTATTGTGTTTTGTGGTTTGGTTCTTACAGTATGTGGTGAATTAAGTCTCCCTTCCTTCTGGTTAGCAGTTACTCGTGTTGACATCCCAGGATCATTCCTTGATCCTCATCTTATGAGATGCTGACCAGTGACTACTCCGAAACAGCCCCTTGGTGCACGTCCTCGTGGATGTTCCAGTTTCCTCAGTATCCACTCTTGGTGTTCCTGTTAGTGCTGATTGTTCAAATCCAGAAGTTGAAATGACCCCATGTTCAGTCTATGTGTTTGTTCTCACTGGTCTTCTCATCCTAGGCAGCCTTATCTCTGTACCATGTTTCAGGAAGGTCTTGGCTCTTTCTCTCATCGTTAGCTTGACCTATTTATATTGCCCATGGTTTTCTCGTGTTGGTTATTTTCAAACTTGATTCCTTGATTCCATAATTTGCCCTCACACACAACAAACCAAGAAAAATCTGTTCTTTTGTTTTCTCATGCTCCCAGTCCACAGATGTTCTCTGATAACAATCACCAGGCATCTCAAAGGCTGTCTGGTCCCTACACCCTTCTCAAAGCCACATGAATATGTGATTCTTTTGCTTTTCACTTTTGCGTCTCAGTTCTGTCACCTTTTCTACAAACCTCTGTTCCTGTGACTACCATGAAACTTTAGCATCTCCCACAAAAAGCCTAGGCTAGCAACTACTAGTGCACTACTAATAAGAAGTTAAAATATAGAAACTTTGTGAGGAAATTCCAGAATTAGAGTGGTTTATGCCAAACATCTTAAGATGCTTTTCCTCTGCTTAACTAAAGTCATATCTATGGGGGAAAACTAGGTGAAAAGTTTTCTACAAACAATGCCTTTGTTACCTCTATACAATTGTGTTTGTGAATTATGTAGGCCTCTATAATTACATATGGGGAAACTAAAACTGTGACTTGCAGTTCAGTATTGCAAATATTATAAAGCTTTCTACTGAAGTGCTGTAGTGAGAGAACAGGCATGGAGTCCAGGAAATCCTTCAATGAATTGGTATATGTGTAGTTTTCAGAGTGCTGCTTTCAAAGACATTTAAACCTTGTAAACATTTTCATACATATGATGTTAAATTTGAAAGTGCTGCCTCAGCAAACACTGAGCTCTATGTGATTGATAACTCCTCCTACACTAATGGATCACCTTGCTTGATTTCCCCACCTGATTACTATGGAAGATGACATGTGAGTGTCAAATGGGGAAAGAAAGGTTTTTCTTAAAGATTTATTTATTTGAAAGGCAGAGCTACAGAGAGGCAGGGGCAGAGAGAGAAAAAGAGAGAGGTCTTTGATCTGCTGGTTCACTCCCCATAGGGCCGCAATGGCTGGAGCTGAGCTGATATGTAGCCAGGAGCCCGGAGCTGCTTCTGGGTCTCTCTGTGGGTGCAGGAGCCCAAGCACTTTGGCCATCTTCCACTTTCCTAGGCTATATCACAGAGCTGGATCAGAAGTGGAGCAGTGGGGACTCAAACCAGTGCTCTTATGAGATGCCGGCACTACAGGCAGAAGCTTTTCCTGCTATGCCGCAGTGCCGTCCCCAAGAGATATTCTTGTAGTAGACTAATGTTCATGGTGTATAGCCCTCTGCTCTGTGCAGGTAGAATTTGAGTAATTCTTGGCAGACCCTAAATTTTTGAGGTACATAGAGATAATATGATAAATGTAATGGGACCCACAGTTTTCTGGTAAAATACTTCATGATATCTACTGGGGTCCTGCCATTTATGAAAATGGGTTCTAAAGCAACCTGATCAGTGAAGACGTTGCCACCTATTGATCCAGTGAAGCAAGTGCAGCGTGAGCACCTCTGACCCTGGCAGAGGCTGCAGCCCCTGGTGACTAAGATGCCGTAGGCCTGTACTGCTACTCATTCCACGGGGAAGGCCCTGCCATACTGCTGTGAGCATCCTGGTTTAATATTTTGGTATTGCCATGTTTTGCTTTGTTCTTCAACTTAAATACATGATATCTCCATTTGGTTCGTTTATGTCCTCTTGCAGTTTTCACAGCTAAATTTCTTTTTTAATAATTTTTATTTATACAGAGGTGAACAGATATCATGTATTTCATAGACACAGATTGAGGAGTATAGTGATACTTCACCTTTCCCTCCTCTCCCCAGCATGCTGCCCTCCTCCCTCCTTCCTTTCCTGTGATTACAAAATAAGCTGAAAGAATGTCATTGTGAAAACTATAGGAAAGTGTAAATTCTAAAACTTGACAGAACTAACTCCATAAGGTGTAGCTCCTGGTAGGAACTGAAAAATGCAGATTGGGCTGTTTAAAAATTGTCATGCATTTCAATATGGAAACCCTAGGAATTTAGATTGAGTTTAGGTGAGAAACTACCATGGTGCCTCCCCAAAGGTGTGTTCTCAAAACATAATGTGCCCACACCCAACTATTGCTTTGAACCAAGGGCCATTGTGGTCACCAGTGATGGGAAATGGAAGGCATTTTAGGGCAGTGAGCCTGAGGACTGTGACCAAGACCTGTCCCGGTGAGTCAGTGAGAGATCAAACTATGCATGAGCCCCCTGGCTCCAAGCCCCAGCACTTGCCCCATCTTCCTATCAGCCTTCATTTACAAAGTACAGATTCAAGTGAAATCCAGCAAGAATTTGGACAGCAGAGAGCGTACTCTTTTTCGTTGGGTCCAGTTGCCGTGTCACTGGTGACATGCTGATGAAGCAGGCCCTGCCTTTTCAGTTCCATGGTTTAATTGGGCGAATTCTCAACCTGCTTGTAATATGTAACTGTGTTACATGCATATAGGAATGTACACCCATCGGTGGGAGAATACCATATGGTAATTTATAATTCTAATTTCACTTCTCACTTTCCTGGTTTCCTTCAGATATACTAACTTTTATTTTCTATTTCTGAGTTTTCAGTCTGAGGGAGGTGAGGTGACAGTGTAATGTGTTACTTGGATATTGTCTTAAATATTCTCTTGATAGAAATCCTGAATCTTTATTTTCAAGATATAAACCGCCTGAAATTTAGTTTAGTCAAGTTCATGAATGTTTTTCTTAAGATTTATTTATTTGAAAGTCAGAGTTACACAGAGAGAGAAGGAGAGGCGGAGGGAGAGAGAGAGGTCTTTCATCTGCTGGATCACTCCCCAGTTGGCCGCAATGGCCAGAACTCTGCTGATCCGCAGCCAGGAGCCAAGAGGTTCTTCCAAGTCTCCCACGTGGGTGCGAGGGCCCAAGGACTTGGGCCATCCTTTACTGCTTTCCCAGTCCATAGCAGAAAGCTGGATTGGAAGTGGAGCAGCCGGGACTTGAACCGATGCCCATATGGGATACCGGCACTGCATTTGGTGGCCTCACCTACTACGCCACAGTGCCAGCCAGCCCCAATCATGAATGTTTTAAAACTCATTTCTTTCCCATGAAGCCTACCAAAACCCCACAATATTAACCTAAGTTCCTTAATTTTTATTTGCATTTTAAGTATAGGAACCTATTTTTGCATGTTTTATTTTTCCAGCCTTATTACAATACAACCGAGAAACAAAAATTGTATATATTCAAGGCATGCAATGTGTGTTTCGATATGAGTCTGATCTTTACATTGCATTTTCACACAAACTTTTCGACTCTCCTGGTACTTACCATACACTATGAAAGGGGTAGTGCAATGAAGCTACTTAACAAAGTTATCACTCCTATAGTGTTTTTAAAATTTTTAAATTTTATTTATGTATGTATTTTCCCAGAAGATTTATTTGAAAGGCAGGGTCCAGCGCCATGGCTCACTTGGTTAATCCTCTGCCTGCAGTGCCGGCATCCCATATGGGTGCCGGGTTCGAGTCCCGGTTGCTCCTCTTCCAGTCCAGCTCTCTGCTGTGGCCCGGGATGGTGGAGGATGGCCCAAGTGCCTGGGCACCTGAACCCGCGTGGGAGACCAGGAGGAAGGACCTGACTCCTGGCTTTGGATCAGTGCAGCGCCAGCTCTAGGGGCCATTTGGGGAGTGAACCAACAGAAGAAAGACCTTTCTCTCTGTCTTTCTCTCACTGTATAACTACCTGTCAAAAAAAAAAAAAAAAAAAAAAAAAAAAAAGAAAGGCAGGCAGCAGGGAAAGAGAGTAAGATAGAGTGAGAGAGAGGATGAGGGATATCTCATCTCATGCATTATTTCACTCCTCAAATGTCCTCAGTGGCAGGGCTGGACCCCAGGTCTCCCACTTTGGCACAGTGGCCCAAGCCGTTGGGACATCTTCTAGTGCTTTGCCAGGCACATTAGCAGGGAGGTGAATGGGAAGTGGAGCAGCTGGGACTCGGTCTGGTGCCCATAGGGGATGCTGGCCGTCTAGGTGGAGGCTTAAGCTTTTACACCCCAGCTCCAGCACCATAACCATATATTTGTATCTTGTGACTAACATCTCTTCATTTTTCCTGCTCTCTGTGTTAGTTTGACTTTTGTATATTTCACATGTAAGTGTGATCATGTAGTATTTCTTATTTCTGTGTCTTGTTTCACTCATTGTAATGTCCTGTAGTTCCATACTTTTGGATCCATCTTGTGACAAGTAGTAGTATTTCCTTTGTTTTTAAGGTTTGGCGAGGATTCCACTGTGTGTGTATCCCAGTTTTCCTTATGGGTCCATCAACAAAGATTTGGGTTATTTCCATATCGTGGAATTGTGAATGATGCTGAAGTGAATGTGGGGGTGCAGACAGTTCTTTGAGATGGTGGTTTTCTTTTGGATTCATGGCTAATAAAGGTTGTTCCTTTTTTAATTTCATTTGAGGAACTTCCATATTGCTTTTCATAATGGCTGGCACAATTTACATTCCCTCCACTAGTGTGTGTTCTGTTTCTCTACATTGTGCCCAATACTTGTTATCTTTTAACTTTTTAATAGTAGCCATTTAACAGATATAATAACCATTGTCATCTTGATTTGCATTTTGCTGATGATAGCAATGTTCAGAACTTTTTCACATACCCTCAGGGTACATTGTATGTCTTTGTTGGAAAACATTGATTCAGTCCTTTGTCCTTTTTAAATTGTATTCTTTGCTGCTTAGTGGTATGCCTTCCTTGTATTATTCCCTTGATCACACATCCGGTTTGCTAATATTTCCTCCTATCCATTGGTGTGCCTTTTCATTTCACTGATCTTTGCTTTACTAGTTTGTTGGGGTTTCATTTCCTTACATTTGCTTTTGCTCTCTGTGCTTTAGTTGTTAGCACATAAGCAACCACTCTTGAGGCTGATGTCAAGGACTTTTCTACTTTATAAGTTGTAAGTGTTCAGATCTTCTGTATGGACTTTCAGTTCATTTTGAGCTGATTTTAATATGTGGTGTAACAGTGATACAGTTTCAGTTTGGACATGTGGTTATCCAGGTTGCTTCTGCCTCAGATGTGGGCCTTTACGTCCAGTGACTGCATGTTTGGTAACCCTGGTGGGCCAGGGTCCCCAGTGTCTTCAGTTGGATCCATTAAACCAGATGCTGTGGCTGGAGTTGGGCAGGAGCTTGGCATGTGTAGTGATTTGGGAGTAGGAGACCATGCAGTGATGGGGTCAAGATAGGGGACTGTGGCCTCCTCGTCTGGAAGCCAGGGCTATATGAGGGTGTGTCAGACAGTTTTTTGAAGGGTAGACATTTGGCATGGTGGGAAAGACAATGCTCAGGATACCAGTGGCAGCCAGTGATGGCTTAAGTAGTTGGATTCTTGCTACCACATTGGAGACCATCTTCCAGCTTCAGCCTGGGTCAGATCAGCCCTGAGTATTTTGGACATTTGGGTAATGAACTACTAGATGGGTGGTATCTTCTCTCTCTCTCTCTCTCTCTCTCTCTCTCTTCTCTCTCTCTCTCTCTCTCCTCCCCCCTCCCCCTTATTGTTTCTCCGTGTTTTGCTTTTGAAACCAATTGCAATATTAAAACTAGGTGGAAAAAATGGTTTACGGATGATTATCCCAGTAGCCTTAGATTACTGAGTCATTTCCTAGGATCATGCAGGGGGATGTGTGTAGCTCACAGTAATCTGTTATCTTTTATTAGAAAATGAAATAAAGGAGCCCAAGGCTCTGTCCATAAAATAATGCCAAAGATTAATGTAGATTTGATCAGTACAAATTTTATATGAGTATTGAAATGTCACACTAGCCCATAAATTTGTACAACTCTTGTGGATGAAATTTAAGGAAAAATACCAACATGTTACTTGGTGTATAAAGTTAAGGGGTTTAAATGATTAATGTCACAACTAATATTATGGTATTTGAAAATGGTTAATTAATACAAGCAAAAACATAACCTGTAAATAACTGAACTGTTCTTTTCTTGTCATGCTCAGTCGAAGGGCTACCTGGCTGTGTTTAAGTTGGTGATGGATATTTATTTTAGATTGTTTCCTTTAATAAACTAAAATGGTAGTATGTTTTCATGTGTGTATGTGAAATTGAACAGCATCAGAGCAATACAATGAATATGAGATAAGCTTTTTCATATTTGGGATTTTATTGGTTTTTGAGAATCACTACAGAGACATTTTAATTTGTACACTATTCTTAACAAACCAGAAATTAAAAAAGTGAGGGCTTGTCATTCTTTTAAATCTTTTATTTTTGAAATAGTGTATTTTTAAATTTACCTCATAAGAGCTTTATATTCCATTCAATAAAGAGTTCATCTATTAAGGAAGAATATAGGCAAGGGCAATAAAAGTAATCAAACAAAAAAAGTCCTATCTTTATGATCAGTTATGAACTTAAACTGATCACTTTAACTAGTAAGATGGCATTAAGTGTCAAAGAGATCACAGCACTCTGGCCTCAGAATCAGCCCTTAAGGCATTCGGATTAGGCTGAAGAGCCCATGAGAGTGTTTTTAGGCATGGAAAGTCAAGACACCCTGGCCAAAAAAACAAACAACAAACAAACAAACAAACAAAATAAACAAGAAAAAACAACCAAAAACAAAAAACCTAAGCGAAAGATCTCTGGGAGTGAGATCCCAGTGGAAAGAATGGGCCATCAAAGAAGGAGGTACCTTTCTCTGAAGTGAGGAGAGGACTTCCACTTTGACTATGACCTTGTCTAAATAAGATCAGAGTTGGCGAACTCAAAAGGCTTCCATAGCCTTGGCAACTCATGAGAAGAGCCTGGGGTGATTACTGACACCATAAACAAGAGTGTGAATCGTTAAGTCAACAACAGGATTCACTGTGCACTTACTCCCCACGTAGGATCTGTGTCCTTAATGTGTTGTCCAATGTGAATTAATGCTATAACTAGTACTCAAACAGTATTTCACACTTTGTGTTTCTGTGTGGGTGCAAACTGATGAAATCTTTACTTAATATATACTAAATCGATCTCCTGTATATAAAGACAATTGAAATGAATCTTGATGTGAATGGAATGGAAGAAGGAACAGGAGATGGGAGGGTTGTGGGTGGGAGGGAAGTTATGGGAGGAAAAAGCCACTGTAATCCAAAAGCTGTACTTTGGAAATTTATATTTATTAAATAAAATTTACCAAAAAAAGGATCACCTAAATAAGACGAAGTGTCTGCTGATAGTAATAGATAGGAAAAAAAAAAAAAAAAGCCGGCTAATCCTCCGCCTAGCGGCGCTGGCACACCGGGTTCTAGTCCCGGTCGGGGCGCCGGATTCTGTCCCGGGTGCCCCTCTTCCAGGCCGGCTCTCTGCTGTGGCCAGGGAGTGCAGTGGAGGATGGCCCAAGTATTTGGGCCCTGCACCCCATGGGAGACCAGGAGCACCTGGCTCCTGCCTTCAGATCAGCGCAGTGCGCCGGCCACAGTGCACCGGCCGCGGTGGCCATTGGAAGGTGAACCAATGGCAAAGGAAGACCTTTCTCTCTGTCTTTCTCTCTCTCTCTCACTGTCCACTCTGCCTGTCAAAAAAAAAAAAGTAATAGAATTAAAAAGGAGACAATGATCCAACATGGGAAGCAAGCCACACAGCAGACTCCTAGAATGACAACTACCCTAAACAGTGCTCTGGCCTCAGAATCAGCCCTTAAGGCATTCGAATCTGGCTAAAAAGCCCATGAGAGCATTTCAAGCATGGAAAGACAAGAAAGACACTGTGGCAAAAAATCACCCACATGAAAGGTCTCTAAGAGTGAGATCCCAGGGAAAGAAAGGGCCGCCAAAGAGGTCAGTACCTTTCTCTGAAGGGAGGAGGGAACTTCCACTTTGATTATGGCCTTGTCTAAATAATGTTGGAATTTGTGGACTCGAGGCTTCCATAGCCTTGGCAGCTCATGACCAGGAGCCTAGGGTGATCACTGATGTCAAATAGAAGAGTGTCAATTGTTAAATCAACAACAGGTATCACGGTGCACTTGCTCCCCATGTAGGACCTCTGTCCTTAATGTGTTGTACTAGGAGAATTAATGGTAAAACTAGTCTTCAATCAGTACTTTAAAGTTTGTGTGTCTGTGTGGGTGCAGTCTGTTGAAATCTTTACTTAGTATAGAATTGATCTTCTGTATATAAAGATCATTAAAAATGAATCTCAATGAAGAATGGGATGGAAGAGGGGGTAGGAGTTGGGATGGTTTGCGGGTTGGAGGGTGGGTATGGGGGGAAGAACTGCTGTAATCCAAAAGTTGTACTTATGAGATTTATGTTTATTAAATCAAAGGTTTCTATAAAATGACTACTACACTAATACACAGTAAATTTTAAAATGATCATGAATTATTAAAATAATAGTAGTATATCATCCTTAAGAATTTGTTTGATAAAGATATAAAAGAAAGTTGAACAAAACTATATTTGCAGCAATACTGATAGACACAGGCATTAACTTTTTTTCTGTTTTTCTTTTGTTGTTGTTGCCTGATTTCTTTTTTCGTAAAAGAAAATTTTAGCTCTCATTATATAAAGGAGAACATCTAATATTTGTCTTTCTGTATCAGGATAATTTCACTGAGCATGAAGTCCTCCAGTTGCAATGATTTTGATACTAATAACAGGCTTTCAGTTTTTATAGTACTGTAATATTCAGTTCTACATAGATGCATCCAGTTTTGCCAGCACCACTTACTGAATAGATGATACTTTTTTCCATTGTATAGTCTGGGCACTTCCATGAAAAATCAATTGTCTCTACCTGTTTGGATTGATGAATTAATTAATTAAATTCCACTATCATGCTGCCTTGATTGCTATAGCTTTGTAGTTAGTTTTGAAGGCAGGCATTCTGATGCCTCCAAGTTGATTGTTTTTTAAATTTTGCTCAGGATAATTTTGGCTATTCTTGATATTTTGTGATTTCTTAGGGAATTTAGGATTATTTTCTCATTCTGTAAAAAATGTCATTGGTGTCTGATAGGAATTTCATTTATTTTGTAGGTTGCTTTAATTAATACAGGTATTTTAATTATACTAATTCTTCCAATCCGTGAGCAAGTTATATTTTTCCATTTTGGGAGTCCTTGATGATTCATTTCTTCAACATCTTAGAATTATCATTGTAGATATCTTTCACTTATTTGGTTACATTGATTCCTAAATGTTTTCTTTTTGTCTCTATTGTGTATGGGATTACTTTTTAGATTTCATTTTTGGCAAGTTGGTTGCTAGCATATAAAAAGCTACTGCTTTTGTATGTTGATTTTGTAACCTGTATCTTTACTGAATTGGTTTTTCATCTTGAACCATTTTTTGGTGGAGTGTTTAGATTTTTCCATGCACAACATCATGTATTCTACAATGTTGTTGAATCCAGTTATTGTTAACAATTGTGTTGAGGAATATTTAATGTGATAAATATAAGAGCATGTCAAAAAGGCTTAAAGTTTATCGGTGGAAAATTTCTCTGTCATTTGCCGTATGGGAAATAGTACCTGGTAGACTTGTGGACTGACGTTGTTAATGGAGTGCATGGGTTCACCCATTGGTTTATCACTGGTTTCTGTGTCCCCCACAGACTCCCAGTGAGACAGTGAGGCTTCTTGAGGTTGTGTGCAGAGTGTTGCTGGCAGCCCCGTATAAGTAACATGGTCTCATGAGATCATTTCAGACATTTGTACCTCCACCTGGGTAATGCAGAGTCTTGTATGCTGCGGGATGGTGAGTCTGGATGCACCAGATGACTGCTGGCTGCTCCTCACATGCTGCCAAGTACCACCCAGGACATGGTTAAGAAAGTAGATGCCTTGTCTGCAACCATCTCAGGTGGTGAAGTTCTGTATCTCAGACACCAAGGAAGTCCACACAGATGTATATACACCTTGCTGTGGATGGAGATACAAAGCCTGCCCAAAGACTGGACAGGAACAGATTGAGTTCCTGTGTTCCTGACAGGAAGTAGCCTACAAATCACGGGGCAACAGACTTGGCAGCTGGCAGCTGTCACTGAACCACATCAAGATCCTGTCCAGCTTGTCTGGAAAGCACAAACAGATGGCATCATGTTTGCACAGAGGGTGAACATAAACGTTTCTACTGCAGTGGGTGTCCAGATCATGTTAAACACCACACTACAGCAGGAGCCTCTGTATTTCAATGGACGTGTACAATTAAGAATAAAAGAGAGCTGTTAGGCATTCTTCAGTGAGCATGTGCAAGCCACCACCCCTGAATGGCAAAGCTGCCCCTAGGGCAGTCCCAACCAAGCTACCTTGGCCCCAGTGGAATTATTTATTCACTTACTTAAGCGTTAGTCATTATGTTTCATTGAAAGACAAGAAAACAGATTTCCCACTGGTTGGATCACTCCACTTGAGTGGCAAGGGCCCAAATATCTGAGCCATCCTGTGTTTCCCAGGGTAAGCAGAAGCAGGAACCTGGATGTGAATGCATGACAGGTATTGATCCTAGATACTTTGCAATGGGATGCTGGCACCAAAAATGATGTCTTTAATTGCCATGCCAAATACAATGTATTGATGCCTTTATATACTAATTATTAGAATGGCAGTGTGAGATAGAGAGAGATGCTTCCATCTGTTGGCCTCACCCCCAAAGCCTGCAGACATTATTGGAAGGGCTAGGCCAAAGTCAGAAGCCAAGAACTCCATCCAGTTCTCTCACATTGGTGGAAGAGACCTAAGTGACTGACCCAATGCCTGCTATCCATCAGAGTGTACATTAGCAGGAAACCTGACTGCAGGAAGATTATGCTGAAATCCAGGCGCTCTGATATGGGACGTGGGTAACCCAAATGACATCTTAACAACTCTGTCACAGTTCCTTGGCTATTGTTACATTTTAATGATTTTTTATTTGGAAAAAAAAATATTAGTGAGGGAACGACATAGAGATATCATCCCAACCACTACCTCACTCTCCAAATGGCTGCAACAGCTACAGATTAGCCAAGGTGAAGCCAGGAGCAGGAACTCCATCTTCTTTTCCAACATGGGTTGCAGAGTCCTGAGATCTTCAGGCATCACCTACTGT